ATTAAAAAAGTGTAAAATCGAGTAACCCGCGCCCTGGTGGGGTCTGTTTATAACGCGACCTGGTGGGGGGGCTATTTTTTGCCCCCCCCCCTCGTATCTCCGAAACTACTGGACGGATCCGCAAAATTCAAACGACGTTCGAAAGGCCTGTCAAATTTGTCGAGGAAATCCAAATTTCATTGACCTCGGGGTCACCGATGACGTCACAGGTCAGGTCAAAGATGAAATGTTTCACCGTTCACGGGTCTTCTAGGGAATGCGCTATAACACCGAGGAAAACGCATTTTGTCGAGAATCAGCGATAGGGCGTCAGTTGCCTAGTAGATATGTTGCTATTAGAGGTCACTGACAATACCAGGTCAGGTCACAGGTCAGGTCACCAAGGGTCACAGGTCAGGTTACATGAGCCCAACTTTACTAAGGTTGTGTGATGCATGTTTTATGGCCAATTTTTCATTTCCAACTCAATGGTGTTGGTTATAAGACTATCAGGTACGGCTTAGGTCACTTTCTGGTGAAGTTCAGGTCAAGGTCAGGTCAAGGTCAGGCCAAAAAAGGTCAAATGTTGAAGTTGATAGTTTTGCATAAAATGGGTATTGATTCGATGCAGCTCGTCACGGGGAGTCTAATGGTGGTCTTTGTTTTGCGCTACGAGGTCTAGAATTGCCAAAAATTGAGTTTGAAAATTTGACGTCATCAATTTTGAACAGTTTTTTTCGCTATAACTTCGCCAAAAAAAGAGGTATCGATCTCAAATTTGGTATGTGGATGGAAGGCTGTAAGGACTATCACATATATTCCGGTTTTTGCGAAATTCAAAAAACTTTTTGGATTTTTTGAGTATTATATGCAATTTTTTTTAATTTTTGGGGGTCAAAACCAAAAAATTTCAAAAATTCGAGATAACAGTTTTGTAGCCCTGTCAATTCTACAGCTTTTATGTCCTAATCATTTTTCTGTATTTGCAAAGCTATAGGCCTGACAGCTCTTCCCGCAAAACCCTTTTTTGGGTCGAAAACGGCAGAACATGACGTCACTCTGACGTCATTTCCGGCCAACCTATCATAGCCTTTGGAAAAATTTTTGGTCACAATGTGTAAAATTGATGTCCGGGAGGGTACTGAAAGTTTGGTGACGATCGGCGCAGCGGTTCTGGAGATATATCGAAAAGTCTGGAGGGGGGGGGGGCAAAAAATAGCCCCCCCCCCCCACCAGGTCGCGGGGTAACAGGCATGTTATTGAAAATCATCGATGAGGGAATCGTCCGCAAACTCATATTCTGCTATTTGAGATCATTGATACCAGGTCAGGTCACTGAGGGTCACAATACGAAAGCGTCGTGTGATACATGGGTCAGGTAACCCTTGGGGCCAGTTTAGATTATGCTCTGGTGAAGGTCAGGCCAAAGTCAGGGGAAAAATAACAAATTTTAAAAGTTGACATTTTTGCATAAAATGAGTATCGATTCGATGCAACTCGTCACGGGGAGTCTAATGGTGGTCTTATTTTGCGTTACGTGGTCTAAAATTGCCAAAAAATGAGTTTGAAAATTTGACGTCATGAATTTTGAACGCGATAACTTGGCCAAAAAAGAGATATAAGTCTCCAATTTAGTAGGTATGTGGATAGAAAGTGGGAGGAGCTATCACATATATTCCGTTTTTTTCCGAAATTCGAAAAAAACTTTTAGGAGTTTTTGGCTATTATATCCCTTTTTACTTTTGTGGGGTCAAAATCCAAAGAATTCAATAATCCGAGACAACAATTTTATAGCCCTGTTAATTCTACTCCTTTTATGTTTTTAACATTTTCCTCTATCTTCAAAGCTGTAGGCCTGACAGCTCTTCCCGCGAAACCTTTTTTTTGGGGTCAAAAAATGGCAGAACATGACGTCATTCTGACGTCATTTGCGGCCAGCCTATCATGGCCTCTGGAAAATTTTGGTCACAATGTGCAAAATTGATGCCTGGAGGAGTCCTGAAAGTTTGGTGACAATAGATGCAGTCGTTTAGGAGATAGAAAAACGACAGGGGGCCGTTTCGCCCCCTCCCCCTACGGGGCGCGGGTTAACTCTTGTGTAAGTCGCTGCGTCTCGTTACAGCACACACGCTCGTTTAAGTACCGAGACGCTCTAGCACAATTAGAGGCGAAACGGCCGACGGCGAAAGGGTTCCTCCAACGAGAGTAGGTCCACTGGAGGAATATTAGTCCGTGTAATGCTGTATTCTCAAAATGTGGCGCTTCAAGAAATAAGCTTGTTCACTCCCTACTGATTTCTGGTTTGCACTAAACTATTAATCAAATGGTTTTTGTTTTTTATGCGCTGGCGACATTCACTAGTCCCGGAAAACTGGTGGCTGCAACTAAAATTTAAACCAATAGGTATATTCGGGCATGGCCGTTCCTCATCGTAGGTACAATATAACATTTGAACAATATAGTTCTCTCTTGTTCTATTGTCCTTGTTATCTTGTTCCACTGAGGAAGAGCCATGCCCGAATGCACATTGGTTTAATTTTTTCAATTCCTATAGAAATGAGCAACACGTTACTTTCCATTCTCTTTATAGGGCCATGTCAAGCCGAAACTTCCGTTTGGCGCATGTCGGCGCATATTTGATATCCCTAGCATTTCCAGAATTTTGTGACAAGAAACGTTTCAACACGTGAAATGATGCTTGTCCCTTGCATTAGGTATGGAGGGTTAAGGGTTACAATGTCACTTAACCCGCGCCGTGGGGTCTGTTTATAACGCGACCTGGTGGGGAGGGGCTATTTTCTGCCCCCCCCCCCCTCGTGTCTTCTAAACTACTCGACGGATCCGCAAAATTCAAAAAGGTGTTCGAAAGCATCGGCAAATTTGTGGAGGGAAATCCAATTTCATTGACCTCGGGGTCACCGATGACGTCACAGGTCAGGTCAAAGATCAAGTGTTTTGCCGGCCACGGGTCGTCTAGGGAATGTGCTATAACATCGAGTAAAACGCATTTTATCGAAATTCCGTGATAGCGCGTCTGTTGCCTAGTACATATGTTGCTATCAGAGGTCACTGATAATACCAGGTCAGGTCACAGGTCAGGTCTCCAAGTCAGCACATGAACCCAATTACTAGGGCTATGTGATGCATGTTTTATGGCCAATTTTTATTTCAAACTCGATGGTGTTAGCTATAAGACCATCAGGAACGGTTTAGGTCACTTCCTGGTGGAGGTCAGGTCAATGTCAGGTCATAAAAGGTCAAATTTCAAAGCTCATAGTTTTGCATAGTTTTGCATAAATGATTGCATAATTATTATTGCATAAATTGATTTGATGCAACTGGTCACGGCGAGACTAATGGTGGTCTTTGTTTTGCGCTACGTGGTCTAGAATTGCTAAAAATTGAGTTTGGAAATTTCACGTAATTAATTTTGAACAGTTTTTTTCGCTATAACTTGGCCAAAAAAAGAGGCATCCATCTAAAATTTGGTATGTGAATAGAAGTCGGTTAAGACTATCACGCATATTTCGTTTTTTCGATTTTTTTTTATTTTTTAAGTATAATTTCCAAAAACTTACTTTTGATTTTTGAGGGTCAAAATCCATAGATTTTAAAACTCCGAGATAGCAGTTTTACCTATAGCCCTGGTAATTCTACACCTCTCATATCCTAAGTGTTTTTCTGTATCTTCAAAGCTGTAGGCCTAACAGCTCTTCCCGCGAAACCCCCTTTTTTTTTTTTTTGGTCGAAAACGGCAGAACATGACGTCACTCTGACGTCATTTTCGGCCAACCTATCATAGCCTTTGGAAAAATTCTGGTCACAATGTGTAAAATTGATGCCCGGGAGGGTACTGAAAGTTTGGTGACGATCGGCGCAGCGGTTCTGGAGATATCTCGAAAAGTCTAGAGGGGGGGGGGGCAAAAAATACCCCCCCACCCACTCACCAGGGCGCGGTTTAAAGTTCAGGTCAAGGTCATTAACTTGAAGTGACTTTCGATAACTTTTTTCAAGTTTTACGATTCGTTAGGGTAGCTTTTGTAGCTCTTTTCGAATTTAAAGCACTAATTTGAACTTAGCGGGTACAGTTTTTGGTGCTTATGAAACATGTTATGAGGCTGTCAGTTGTGGTTGACACCATAGATAGCCTGCAAGACGCCTACTAACTGACCTGACCTGACGTGACCTGACCTAACACTGCATGAATGCATCATATTTGCTCAAAACTAATGTGAATTCGAAATCAGAACCTCTGAAAACCCTGTAACAACCTCACGTTTTAGAATGTCTACTAAGTCCCCATTTTTCCGACTTCTGGGTCCGATTGACAGGACTTGAAGGTCAGCCAATGACATAGAACTTAAAATTGGGTATCATCTGCTTCCTCTCGTCACGGGCAGCATGCGCTCGATGGCTGGCTGTCATGCACGAGTGGCTACATTACCCATGTGTTTAATGATTTTGGAAGATGCGTAACCTTTCACACCTATCCACTGTTGATTGTGTTTGCTTTTTTCCTGTTTTGATTGTTCCGATTGCTACGAAATAATGGCTTCGCACATAACCTGCGAGAGCTCCTCTGTGACGTGAAAGGCTTTTCCGATCGCCGCTACATTTCAGCAGACATGGCTATGCTAAGGGGTAAGCTAAGGTGCAGCTATTCGTCCTGCACACGAGGCGTTACTTGTCGGTGATGTGCAAGATGCAATTAATTAGAATCTTTTTGGGTCAATTTTTGTTAACAAAAAAATGAGCTGTTTATGATTAAAGTAAACACATGAAATGTCATGTGTCTGTGTTTTGATGATTTAAGCATGTTCAGCGAAGGGGACCACGCATACTTTTGATCTGTATATGTGTATGATAGTGTTATGTGTTTTGATCAATTCATCGCATTATTCCCCTTTCCGTCAGTAGCCGCCTATTAATAGAATGCTGCCCCCTGTAATCGTTCGCTAATCCTGAAGTGTGTTCCGTAGCTTCAAATCACGATCTCCGATAACGACGTATTGACTGTTGTAGATGATGACACATGTATATTTTTTTCTATCAGATTGCACAATACATGGTCGTCGAAACTGAAGCAGTGTTCGACAGCACATAGGCATGCTAGTACATCAGTAGTATCACATGAGTTATTATTTACAGTCACAGCTTTATCAGATTCCGCATGTTTAGCAGCTCAGGTATCCAGCCCATCTCCAGCTTTGATCCGTTTCTGCAGTTGTCTCGGCGGTGTATGGGTCACGTGACACCACTCAAACGACCAAGAAGCTGGCCAGATCACTGTCGGTTTCCCAGGCCATCGAAGCAGGATCATTGTCGCGTTTCTGGAATCCGTCTATGGGAAGACCGGGGTCCTCAAACACCGGCAAGTGGACGGGCGGAGTGCCAGCCTGTGACGAATAAAGCAGGGTCAGTTTAGAAGGAGTTTACGCCAACAATTAAGTCCGGTAGTATTCAAAAAAAAAAACACACACACACACACACACACACACACCAGTTATGACAGTTAACCTCACAGAAACAAATAACTTTGTAGATATCGATTAAATAGGTTATTCATGGGTTTCAATTAATGAGGTTAGAGTTGGCGTAAAATGAAAACATTATTAATAATTTGGTTATTTCTATCCGATATCTCTGCCTCCGTGAAGAGAAAATTCCACAACAAATCGATCTTCCCACACTGGGTCAATGTTCTATGAGCCATTTTAGTCGTTTAACAATCACTGGATCAGTCGAAGAAGCCCCGAGCCTAACTGGCCCAGACCACTCACCGTTGTCACAACTCTGTGGCTCTCAGTGACAGGGGATGTCGGCTGACCACCCGCGGGTGCCGAGACCCTGAAACGTTACCGTTAATATGAATAGTAAATAGATATATAACAGGCACCATAGGACAACGTATAAGACAGGTTTAGCATGGAAACCGTTTTTACTTTTTAGTGCTGCATCAGTCCAGCAAAAAAAAAAAAGAGCAAGCAGCCTGGACTCTGGATCATACCAGAATTCTAGCCTGTAGATAGGTAAGCGTTCTGGCTCAGCCGCAGGAAAATAATGATTGATCACAAGTTGGGCCACGGCCAGCGTAAACTGTATTTCTTATACAGTTTCCTGAAACAATTCAAGTACCGTTCACCTCGAGCCAGGTCACTAGGTAAAAAAACAGTACGTGGTCAGTTACTGTGGCCACTGCCCACTAACCTGGTATATGCGATTTGGGGAGAGCTGTTGTGCATAACGCCACATGTTGGCTGGACGAACTCGTATAGCTCCCGAATCGAACACGGTCTGTGGCAGCAGGCCTCTACGATGCTTTCACCTGAAATGTGACAAGAAATGCCGTGACCATAAGCCTAGTGTGCATTATTTGGTGAGCTTCATATCTATTTGGACCAATACGGCATTGCCTTGGACACATGTCAGTGACAAACATAAGTAGCTTTCAACGCGAAGCATTATTATAGAAATGTTGGCCTCACTCATCTTACAGCCAATGTCCCCTTCCCTAACGTACGGCTCATAGCAGAGGAGATTTGCCGCACGGTGACTGCGCTGCCGCTCCGCCTGCGACGATCGTGGCAGAGGCTCTCGATGAAGTCGGTCAACTGCGCTCCACACATGCGCACGTTCATTCCACGCTTGGCGTAATGTTGTTGGTTTCGGGTTGACCTCGCGGAGATAGCATCAGACCCTCCTGTGCTGTCTTGCGACCCCCACGCCTGTTCGCCGCGGCCTAGTGTGGCGGGCCGGCCTACCCACCAGGGGCGCAATAGGCCCTGGGGCGCCGCGGCCGGTCGGCTAGCTTCCTCGGGCAGCCGCCAGAGGCGCTGGTTGTCGGTCAGCGGGGAGAGTGGTAGCTCCATAGAGGACCGACCTGATGCCGCATTGGCGCGATGGTAACTAGCGCCATCTACCGTTGTCCAGACCAGCAGGAGAAGAAGAATGGGTTGCATCATCTGCCAAGAGAAACCAGGAAGCATATTTAAAGCATACCTATCACCTATTTTCATAGGTCCTATAACGTGTAAAAGACCATTTCTTTTGACACTTGTTTAACGGTTAAGAACAATGCAGGATAAAAGGGAAAGCCGAGACAAGTTTCAATTTTTGTTTCTTTGTATAGGTCTTCCAATAACTGTATTCAACGCTTACTAACCGATGGATTCTCACCTGTGCAGCGGTGTGAGACGGCGCCGGTCAGGTCAGGTCAGGTCAGCCGCCGCTGGTGACCAGATAGATGCGCTGGTCACGCCGGGACGGACGACACTGACGCTGACCGAGCGAGGTGCGCCTCCTTTTGAACGGTGACGAGGCCCGGTCTCCACGTGGGAGTCGGACCGACCGTCGGGATGGTCCGCTCCGATCATCGCCGCCGGCACCGGAATCGGCGGCCCACAGAACCGGCGTCGCATTAGCAGGCTGTTCATTAGATGATTTGGTCGGCTTCCGTACTGAAAGGTCCGAAATCGGATAGATGACGTCGGCTAATTGACGGCTGCGCGGAACTAAATGAAAATTGCTCAATGCACAATAGCTTCTCCGAATGGTGTTGATTAAGGTGTTGATGATAACCGAACAACCTAATTTATTGGAAAATGGTACAGAGGGAACTGAAAGCGTAAGAGGAGGAAACTTAGAATTCACAGCAAATCTACCTATCCAGCTCAAATTAATAGGTACCTAAACCAATTAGAAGTCAGATGCTTAATGTTCCCGTCCTGGAAGAGAAAATTGATTCTTCTTTGTAAGCAATCAAACAGGGCCTAGGCTAACATGTTAACTGGTGGGCCAAACGTTTTTCTTTATTCGTAGAAAAACTACGAATAAAGAACAGATTCAGACAGTGGGGGATAAGCCTGCGAGCGATCTCAGACGGCTCGCCTATATACACGATATAAGCCAGAAACTAGAGGTAGTGTCGAGCGTCGGCGACTTCCAGCCGATTGAAGTCTGCAAGCGATATTATGCGTCCTCACGACCGGTATGATGCTTGCAGTCACACATCTGACCAGTCAGACGAATTTCGAACCGTTCACAGTCAGCGTTCCAAAAATTTGTCATTTGGGCTGAAGATGACACTCAAGAATAAGAATGGATAGTTTTCCACTCTCACATTTTGGGTGGCTAGAATTTTCCACTCAGACACCCAAGAGAAATCAGAAGTTTGGAGACACTGTTCACCAGAAGTGTACATAACTTTTTTAGAAGATATTAGGGTTGTGCAGTGCGCTTGGGCTTTTGAGTCAATTCTTTTCCATGCGACACCAATAGGCTTAATGATCATTTTCAGAGATGTTGGGGTTGCTGCTACAACCCCCTTTTGGGGTTCCTGCTACAATCCACTTTATATATAAAGTTGCACTTGTGCTGTTCACAATTCCTCCCGATCCACCCGACAACGCCCGATCCCGTCCGACAGCTTCCGAATCTCCGACTAGTCGGCGAGCGATCCACTCAGGGCTCGCTGATTTTTAACATCCGACCGGCCGCAAGTTATCGTCCAAAGTTTTACAATCTGCGTCAATATTTTGTGCATACTTGTGCGATTTTATGTGCACCGCCGGAGTATCACCACTGAGAGGGTTGTGGGTCCCTACTCTCTCCTCTCTCTGAAGAGTCAGGGAGGGGTCGAGCCCCGTTTTTTTACATTTTTTTAAATGTCATCCTGACGTTTTTTTTACAGAATAAAGTGGCCGAAATCTGGGGAGAAATCGAAAATTGGGGGGGGGGCTATGGCTACGAAGGTCAGTCCATGTCGCTGCCCAATTGGCCCACCAGTCAAAATTCCTTAGCCGAGGCCCTGCAATCAAATCTATATTTCTAAAGTGCATTAAAATGCTAATGTATGCAGGTATGTTGCATAGTTACCAAAAGCAAGTACGTAGTCAGCAATTGCCAAGGCAATTACCCAAAGCACCCCATTCATTGTCCACAGAGCTCGGACGTGCAGCATGATAATTCTCTCCTACTTGCAATAAATAGCTTCAAATCATCGTTAATGCCGGCTCCCGTCTCTGCTGTCGCCGGTAACCGGCTTACCTGCTGAGCCGGTAACCGGTCGAGCAGCGCCGGTGGGATGGAGACCACCGAGGGCTCTCCACCGCCCCTGGACACCCCCGGGCGACGCCATGACAAACCAGTCAGTCGACCCATCGGACAGATCGACTTCATTGGTCAGAGTGCTGTTCGCTAATCGCGCTGAGCCGGAGTGATGAACAATAATTAGATACCATGAACCCAAGACAACACATTACCAACAGCTACATAATAATGAGTTATGAAATATTTGTTAACCAAAATAAAGGTGATGACAATAAAACCCCTTTTCAATATGCCAAAACTTAATGGATCTAAACAGCATGCAAAAAGCAAATTGAGCAGCTACAATACTAACCCTCCCGGCCAAGGGTTTTAGTGTCACGCTCTCTGATGGTTTCCACTTCTCTCGCGATTATGTAGCGTTCGAAAGCTGAAAGTTGGGATACTGATACCTTATTTTGTTATATTAGTGGCAGGGGGGGGGGTTGTTTTTATCCACCCCTCAGGTTTTTCGGGAATATCTCCGAAACCGCTGAAGCTACGATGCTGAAATTTTCTGACTTTTCTTAACACTAAATTGGGCACATTCCCTGAAAATTTCAAGTTCATAACTTTACCAGGGGCGGCTCCAGAGCACTGGGAATTGGGAGTCCTATTGGTGAAGCGAGTCATTTGGGCGAAGATCACGATGCTGCACCAGTTTTACGAACAGTGAATGAAAGGTATCATGTGATAACATATACAAAGTTATTGTGCATCCTCTTTTGACACGTTTTTGCTATAATAGGCGGATCCAGGCGTCCAAAAAGGGGGGTTATTTTTTACCTCCCAACATAGGTGCCCTGACACCGCCTATGCATGACCAATACAGTTTTAGTCGTTCTCTCATAAGAAAATTGTAACATAACAAGACCATTGCCACCCTTTTTAGAAACAGTACCAACAAAAACCTTATTTAGGGGAAGTTGGGGGAAAGCCGAATACTTTTTTTTCTGACGCCCGTAGCACGCAAGGTAGACAACATAAGCTATTCTTGTTGGCGTCATTCGAGAGGCCAGTCTTCTGCCTTTCAAACATACCGGCGCATTTAATGAATTCGCATACCGTTAAGCGCACAAACTAAATATATCAAAGAAGTGACTTTTTCGGCGTTGCCCCGGACTGCGGGGAAAGCCGAAAATGGGAGAAATGATCTACGGGGAATGCCGACATTGATGTTTTGCCATTTTATCTCAAACTTTATCCAGAATTCATCGAAGCTGACACGCGTTTTAAGAGCTTGAAGACGCGGTGCACACTGGAAGTTATAATTGTGTGATATAATAAGAAAATGCCAGGTAAATCATTCCTTATAGGTAACAGGCCGTTGTGTCGGTTGAAAGTGTAATTTGTGTGACTAAAAATACGCGTTGCTATTCTACAGCAGTAAAGTCCACGTAGCGTGCTTTTAACACGTGCGTAATCGCACGTTTTCGGCATTACCCCAGCCAGCCATCAGTGGCGTATCCAGGATCTTGAAAAGGGGGAGGCCAAACCTGCTCAAGGGGCCCCACCCTTACCTTATGGGCCCCAGTGGTAATTTCAGGTCGAGGTCAGGTCAAGGTCAGGTCAAGTGAGGTCAAATTTAGAAGTTGGTTGTTAAGGCCTTTAACCCTATTCCTGGCGGGCTCCGCCGGGACAAGAAACTGGCGGGGGGGCCGATTCGGCCCCCCCCCCCTGAGATCTCGAGAACGAAGCAAGATAGCGACAAGCGGTAAACGGCATCGGATACGCATGGACAAGGTCTACAATTTTTACAAAGGTCATTTTCAGGTCAGGTCAAAGATGACGTCACAGGGGTCGAAAAAGTCAAAATGGCGGCGCTAGATATGGAGAGAGTTTTTCTCGAATAACTTTCGAATTAGTCAAGATAGGAACAAACTAAGGGCATCATCGTGATCCTCTCGTCAATTCGCATCGAATGATATATATTTTGACCTCGAAAGGTCAAGGTCAAAGGTTGACCTCAGGTCACGTGACCTCGAGGTCATCATGTATATCATTCGATGCGTCTTGACAGGCTGAACACAATGAGACCATCCACGCGGCTGTATCTTGTTCCTGTACGGAGTTATTGGCCAAAAACCTTTGGTGACCTTTGATGACGTCACATGAACTTACAGCCGAGATTAACAAATTGTAGCTACTAATGACCTAATGACATCCTGCGACTTTCAAAGGCCTCCGACATCTACTGTAGCTCTGGCACGGTGACAAAGTTGCAAAAAAGTGACTTGAGGTTGGGTCATTCAAAGTGACCTGGTGACCTGACCTTAAAAGGTAGGAAGTTCAAACTCGCACACCATGTGTAAAATTAATGAGGGAATAGTCGCACAAAATTTCGCGGCGCTACGCGCCGCGGTTTTCCCGCTATTTGCGAAAAACCTCGGGGGGGGCGGATATCCGCCCCCCGTCGGTGCGCGTGTTAACCCGCGCCCAGTGGGGTCTGCCGAGCAACGCGGTCTGATGGGGGGGGGGGGGCCATTTTGGCCCCCCCTCAGATCTCGAGAACCACGCAACATAGCGACAAGCGGTAAACGGTTTTGGATAGCCCCAACGGGGAACTACCTTGTGACCCAATTTCATTGACCTCGGTCAAACCGATGACGTCACAGGTCAGGTCAAAGGTCGACTTTTCACCGTTTACAGGCATTTCAAGAAATGCGTTGTAAAATCGTGTAAAATGCATTTCATTGAAAATCATCGATGGGGAAATGTTCTTCAAACACATATTTTGCTATTTGAGGTCACTGATACCAGGTCAGGTCACAGAGGTCAGGTCACTGGGGGGTCACAATATGAAAGTGTCGTGTGATACATGTTTTATGGTCCATTTTACATGACAAATG